GCCTCCAACCTAATGGCGATGGCCTCCACCCTAGGAGCGATGGCCTCCAATTTTGCATGTTGAGCAACACACACATAGAACTGTTAATTCACAACTTTAAGACCTTGTCTGTCTGCAAGGTGACAGCCCAAAGGCTCCAAGATTGAATTTTTTCAATCGTGAGTGTGTTTTTCAAGTGCAGATTGAAATTTGTCAAAATTCAATCGTTTCTATTGATTTTTCATTTTCTGCTCGAAAAAATAATTCAATCGCAAAATGGTCTTTTTGCACTTTCAAAATTCAATCGCATATTTTTCAAAATTCAATCGCAAAATGTTTGAAAATTCAATCGCATTTTGTTTGTTTGATGGTCTTTTGACATGTATGTTGTTTTGCGCATGTGTGTACATGATTTACACATGCATGTACCAACATCCATGTATGTGTGTGATTGTGTGTGACTTATGGCAGCTGGGGCTATCCAGCCCTGCAACAACACAGATCAACTTCAAATCACTGGGGCTTTCCAGCCTATGAGATGACCAAAGCACTGGGGCTATCCAGCCCTGCAAGATCACAGGTCAAATTCAAAGCACTAGGACTATCCAGCCCTGGTTGCATGTTTTTCACAACTTCAAGCTTTCCAGCTAGTCAGCATCATCCTCTTTGAGGTTGAGTTGGCCACTCAAGAGCAAGTGGAAGCAGAGTGCAAATTTCTGCAGCACCTTTCCAGGCAGCTTTGTGCCACCTGTTCCCTTTACAGAGGCTGCAGCGATCCTGATGCACATGCTCATGTAACTCTCAGGACCGTAACACCAAGTAGACCTTGGTGCCATGTATAGGCACTGGTCTATGTACCTGCAAGCCAGCTTGTGGTGCTTTTGGGTGATGCTGTATCTGCACAGCTTCTTCTCCATGGACTTTTTGGCTAGCCAGCCATAGTGCAAGAGCATTTTGTGTGTGGCCTGCTTGAACTGATTGTATGTGTCTGCAGACCACACATGCTCCTTTCTGTCAGCCAAACAGTACATGTCATTCATGGCTTCCACAGCCTTGAGGCGATGCTTGCCAAAGTCACCCACTGCAAACTCTGCAGCCAGGTGGCAAGCTACCAACGAAAAGTATCTCACTCTCCTTCCCTTCTGGTGCCTCAAGCTGGGGTAGTCATCACCACCATTGCAGACATCAGACAGGCTGAGCCTCCCCAGTCTTTTGGAGGCAGGGATGTTGTTCTCCTGGTAGGCCTTGCAGATCATGTGGTTCAACTCCAGGAGCTTTGCAGCCCTTGATGGCCCTTCAAGGTGGTCTTCAATCAGGTCCCACACAACATTCCCAAAGAGCTGGCTTGCACAGCCCAAGTCCACAAGGTGCAGCCAATCAAGCTTTATAGTCCAGAAGCTGATTGCTGGAACATCCATGAGGGGGTGGTCCACTATGTCCTCCACAGCCTCCAGCTTTGTGCTTCGCCAAGCAGCTGCGCTCCTAAGATTGTGGATCAAGGAACACACAAATTCCTGGATCAAATTGGCACCACACTACAGGAGCTCAACCAAACAAAAGAAAAAGTAATTGAGCGATGCCAGGAAACCTGAAATCAGTAAAAGGCACTTCATTCTTGCCAAAGAAATTTGTAGCGCAGCAGTATTTGCATGGGTAATTTGACATCGCTGTCGGAAATTGGAATTCTTGGCAAAAGAACTCCAAGTCGCCACAAATCACCCAAACCACCCCTCTTCTGACAAACCTGCCATGGCCATCTCCACCATTTGCAAGGATGGTCAGGGAGTTGGCAATCTCTGCCCAAAGAGGTTGCCAGGTGGAGTCCACAGTAGCTTGCCTAAGCCAGGTGCATGGATGATTGGATGACTGACACTATCTATCCAGCCTGATGCATTACTGGGGCTATCCAGCCCTGATGGATTACTGGTGCTATCCAGCTGATGGACTATATATACTGATGCTATCCAACCCTATATAGGCTATCCAGCCTTCATCTAGAAGTAGAAAAGCTAAATGATTGATTTCACAGGCTAGGTACTTAGGCACACTGGCCAGCAAAAGCTGTGAGTGCTGCACACTAACATCACTCAGCATGCACCTCATGGAGATGACCCTCAGTGAGTCTATCTCACTGTATGGGGCCCCATCTCCATGGACAGCCCATGGAATTGGCAGTTCCTCTTGCCAGTTGAAGCTTCTCCAGTAAGGGCTATCCAGCAGCCCAAGTTTGTTTTGCTTTGCCCAAAATGACTGGAGCACTTCTGTGCTGGCAGTGAGAGATTCCAGCAATCCATTCCTGCAGGAGGAGGGAAAAGTGTGGGTGACACAGTGGGAAAAGTGAACCTTGTGAACAAAAACTATATAGCCATTCCAGCAATCCATTCCTGCAGGAAGAGGGAAAAGTGTACTATATAGCCATGCAGTCTAGCCACTGGTCGAGGGTCTCCACCCACTCATGTGGCAGCAGGAGTGGCACAGCTGCAGGTTGTGGCAAGAGCTCACCAGAATGATTTCTGCCCTTCATCTCTGTGGGCACTAGCCTCTGGCTAGGTGCCTTGACCTGGCTGAAATACTTTTTCATGAGGTCTCTGTGAGTGTTCTGTGGGCTGGAACCATGCCCACCAAGGCCTTGTAGAGCCAGGAGGTCCAGTGCATTCTGGCTTTTGATGGCACAGTCAGCCAGCTCCTGGACTTCCACAGCAGTCAAGCGGCCAATGGCAAACTTTTGTATCAGCAGCAACCACAAAGGGCTATGGCTGTCATCTGCCATGGGCTATCCAGTCCTTCTTCTTTTGGACCGAGCAGCCATGTTGAAAGGGTCTCCACCCCAAGCTTTTGAGCGTCCAAAACCACCAATCACATATCACATGTATGGGAGAACAGGGGCTCTCCAGCCCAAGAGCATGCCCTTGTATGCATGCATTGGGGCTATCCAGCCCAAACTTTAAGAACATGAGGCTTGCACATGCATGCGCTCAGAAATCTGGGGCTATCCAGCCCAAACTTGCAACTGATTGAAAGACCTGACCTGCTATTTTGCAATCTAGCTCCACATTCTGACTTTCTAATTGCCACATGCCTTAAATAAAGCAGTGCTATGCAATGCAGGGGCTGTCCAGCCTGTACAACTAATTGGGCTCAGCCTCAATGCCAGCTTCACCTTCATGCCACTCATCTTCACTGCTGGCTTCAGCTTCAGGTGGCACCAAGACTTGGCTATCTTCAGTTTCAAGCAGCTGCCAGCCACTGTAAAGTGGATTGCTAGTCTCCACACCTTTCACATATTCTGGCATGGTTCTTCTCCTTTTGGCCATGCGCTCTTCTGGCTGTCCAGCCATGGGTGCCATCCTTGTCAAAAAGGCCCTGGAGGCTTGAACTAAGAAATGGCAGCCCCACACCACAAGCTGCGCCAAGAGATTGAAAGCTGGGGCTGTCCAGCCCTGATGGCAATGAGATGCAAAATTAGCGCCTGGTGGAGTCCAGCTCCAACACATTTTAAACATTAACAGATGGCAGGGGCTGTTCAGCCCAAAAAACAAATGCACACTGGGGCTGTCCAGCCCAAAACAGAAACATCTTTTTCATCACCTGCAAGCCTGCAGTCGATGGCAGTACCTAGTCTGGCTTCTTCAAAGCCTTTTGCAGGCTGGCCTTGATTGGCTTTGCAGCTTGCAAAGCTTGCAGGGCCTTGCCCATCGAATCAGACACCTCTTCAGTCTTGAACTTGGGCTTCTTCAGCAAGGTGGTCAGGGAGGTGAGGGCATCCTGGAAGGCATCCCAGGCACATTCAGAACAAACATACAAACATGCACACTGGGGCTGTCCAGCCCAAACAAAGTTAAACAAGAGATGGACAGGGGCTGTCCAGCCCAAAGGGTATTAAGAACACCACTGGCCTGCAGCTTGGGCATCACTGCCTTCTTCTTCTTGAGCAGCTCTTTGTCATCAAGGCCAGCTTTTTTGGCTTCATATTCTTTGCTGTCCAGCTGGCTGATGTCCTTCTCCAGCTCAGCTTTGAATTTCCACACCTTGTCCAAGATGTCTTGGTGGCTGTCAGCTGCAGTGATTTTAGAAGTTGTTTCCCAAACATCTTCTTTTTTTGGCTTCTCCTTAGGCTTGGGCACCTTGATTCCCAAGGCTTCAGCCAGCCCTTTGTGCACTCCTTCTTCAGTTGGGTCTCCTTCATCATCCACAGCTCCCAGCTTCCAGTCATCTTCGACCACATCTCCCCAGTCTTGGTTGAAGAAGCTCTCCTGGCATGCCTTGTCAACCTTCCCACTGACTCCAGTGGAAGATTTATGTGTGTGAGAGGTCTTTGTCAGGCCAACCTGCTGCAAAGCCCTGAACTCCCAGTACCTTGTGTCTAGGGGATTCTTTCTGGCCAAGATGGTGCCAGCCTGCACCCTGGCCCACAACTCCTCCTTCCCCCAGTGGTTCAAGGCTTGCACCAGAGTCAACCATTTCTCTTTGACCCCTTTCTCCTTGCTCAGGGTGACCTCCTGCACATATTCCCGATACCTGTCTCCACAGGTTTTGTCACTCATGATCCAGCAGTGCAGCAATTTTCTTTTCTTGGCAAGGCTTCCAGCCTGCCCACCATCATTGCCCTGCACTGCTTCTTGGTAGGTCTTTTCTTCTCCTTCAACCTTTCTTGAAGCCTGGAATTGCTTCCACAGCCTTTGTGTTGCAGCAGGGTCTAACTTGTCCAAGGCCTTTTCAAATTCCTTGGGACTCATGCCCTTGACCTGCTCACAAAACAGGTTGTGGTCTTTCACAGCCTTCTTGGTGAGCTTCCCAGCCACATTGCAATCCCTAGCTGGCTCTTCTTCCTCACTTTCCTCTTCCACCCCACTGTGGTCAGACACTTCTGTCTCTGGCTGGGGTTTGGCAGCTGGCCTTTTCAAAATGCTATCAGCTGGCCTTTGGAATATGGTTTTCACCACTGGCTTTTTCATCTTGGAAGCACTGGGGGCCATCTTGTGCTAGGTGCTTGAACTGCAAATCCTGCAGGCTACAATAAACAAAATCAATAGCTGCACTTCCAAAAAACCATTGGTAGCAGAAAAATTCTAAAATGATTGAAACTCATGGGTGCTCATGTGCGCTCATGTGCGCTCATGGGTGCTCATGGGTGCTCATGGGTGCTCATGGGTGCTCA